ACTAAAGACTGAGGCAAAGAAGGCATTAAGTACCTCAGCCTCCTCCTCCTCCTTTGTCACTATGTTTCCGCCCCCATCTAATAAAGGATGGAGATTATCCTTAGTCCTCCTTTTATTGCTAATCTTATTATAGAAACTTTTTTTTTTATTGTCCTTAACATCAGAAACCAGGTTAAGTTCTAGCTGGGCTTTGACCCTTCTAGTTTTCTCCCTACATAGCCTCACAACATCTTTGTAGTCCTCATGAGTGGCCTGCCCCTTCCTCCAAAGGCCATAAGTTGTCCTCTTTTCCCTGAGTTGCAACCATAGCTATCTGTTCAGCCAGGCCAGACTTTTTCTCTGACATCTCGTTTTTCAGCACATGGGTTCGGCCTGCTTCTGTGCCTTTAAGACTTCCTTCTTGAAGGAGGTCCAGATTTCCTGGACTCCTTTGCCCTTCAGGACTGCCTCCCAAGGGACTCTGTCAACCAGGCTCCTGAAAAGACCAAAGTCCGCCCTCCAGAAGTTCAAGGTGGCAGTTCTGCTGATCCCCCTCCTTGCTTCTCCAAGAATCGAAAACTCTATCTGTGCCCAAGAGAGCCTCCAACCGTTGCATCCCTCACAAGTTCTTCTCGATTTACAAACAAGAGAACCAGCAGGGACCTTCTCTAGTCAGCTCCCTCACCAGCTGTGTCAGGAAGTTATCCTCAACACACTTTAGAAACCTCCTAGACTGTTCCCTCTCTGCTGTATTGTATTCTCAGCAGATATCTGGTAAGGTGAAGACCCCCACAAGGACAATGGCTATATTTGAGACTTCTCCCAGCTGTTTAGAGAATATTTCATCTGCCTCTTCATTCTGGTTGGGTGGTCTATAACAGACTCCCACCATGATATCTGCCTTGTTGGCCCTCCCCCTGATTCTTACCCATAAACACTCAACCCTATTTTCAACATCATTTAGACATTCGTAACACTCCCTGACATACAGGGCTACCCCACCGCCTCTCCTTGCTTGCCTGTCCTTCCTGAAGAGCCTATAGCATTCATTGTAGCACTCCAGTCAGGTGAGTCATCCCACCACATTTCCACGATGGCAACTACATCATAGTTTTCCTGCTGCACAATGGCTTCCAGCTCCTCCTGTTTGTAGCCCATGCTATGTGCGTTAGTGTACAAGCACTTCAGTTGGGCTATTGATCCCACCTCCTTTCTACTGGGAGAAGCCCTAATTCCTGCCTGACCATTCCCAGGGGCAGCCAAAATTTCTAACCCATCTGCCATTGACGCTCTTACCTGCGGATGATTCTTCCAAACCTCATATACAACTCTCAGGACATGGAGTTTCCCCTCATCACCTTCAGCAAGTACTTTGAAGACTTTGTGAAACCTTTAAAGAAATACAAGTAGTCAATGGAGTGGTTAGGATCAGGGCAATGAAGCAAGAGACACATAGTAAGTGGTTTAGATGGTCCCAACATTTTGTTTTGACCAATCTGCAACAATTCTGGAAGGGCTACCCCCTGACAAATAGAATTGTCCTGAGTTTAAAAGGTTGCAGAGACAAGACAACTCCTGAAAACAATATGTAACCCTGCCTCTGGGGCAAAGTTACTTCTCAAAGCTAGGCTACAGTTCTCATGCTTTTAAATGCAGGAGAACCCTGCTGCTCGGTGTGCTTATCTATATGCAGGCAGAGTGAAATTTTCTGCTTTTTGTGCCTTGGACTTTGCCTATTGATAGGTGTTTCCATAACCGTAGACCATTATTCAATCTCCCCTCTACTGAGGAAAGCACTGAGAGCATCTACTTCAGTAGAGTTAAGCTGACTCCGATGTCAGTATTCGCAGCCCAGTTTATGTAATGTAGCTATAAAGTTTAAATGGCTCCTTTTGACCTTATGGATATCACTGTTGATATGCAGCAGTGAAACCACTGTAGCTCTGAATACACAGAGTCCTACTTCTTATGTTATTGACTGTAGGCTAGTGACCATTGTTATAAACCATCATCATAAATCTTCCATGTGCAGAAAAAAATCAAGCTTTTATATTTGTAAAGTATGTAAAGTTGTAGAAATATAAAAATTATTCATTAAGACACATGACCACCTCTTTCATACTGAGACAATTTAACAGCAGCAAGTATGCAGTGTCAAAAATGTTATTTTCATCTTGAGGCAGGGATAGTAGTAGTGAAATAACTTAAAAGGCAGGCCTGATAAAACCCACGGGTAAATGTTACTAAGAACTAGACGAAGCAAGGAGTCTTGTAACATTGTCAAGGACAGCTCCTGATAACGGACAAGAACATGTCTCGAAAAGCAGTTGAAACCAACCCTGTGGTCTGGACAAAGACCAGAGAAGAACTGAGTCTGCGCAAAGACAAAAGGTTACTTGCGGTGATGAAGAGGAATCATCAGCCTTCATCCTCATGACCCTCAACGACCACCACCAGGAGGCACTGCGCAAGCGCAGTTGGGAGGAGTTTATGAAAATGATTTCTTAGAGCTAATTTTAATACGAAGCGGGGACAGGTCATGTATATGTATAGGCGTATTGGGAAATCTCATGATTATGTAATCAAATAATATATATATTTGAGAAAGCCGCTGCATTAGGCATGCACGATTGTGGTGGGGCGACCCCCTGTGCTGCCCAGTGCTGAATAAAACATACCTACTTTACAACTTTCTAAGTTGTGGAGTCTGCTTTCCGCACGTCAATCTCATTTTGCTTAAACAGTTGCAGTCAATCCTCTAGAAGTTAAAGCATGCCTTTAAAAGCATGCACTCCAAAAATATTCTAGAATAAATTTTATATTGCCTAGGTATATTTAAGAAATTGTGGGTTGATTTTTTTTAAATTATTTTTTATTTAAAAAAAAAACACCACCGACAACTGATTTTGAGTCATACTGGTTGTTGCAACACACTGTAGAAGACACGATACTGTCATGGGAGGTATGCAGTCACTCAACATGAAGGAATATCACTTGCTCCTCAGGACACTCAGCAAATTATTAATTTTAAAATGAACTAATCTACCAGCTGTTCCTTCTCTGTGATGCTCCAAAGTACATTATGCTTGTGAACTCACAGATGGAGCCAGCCAGAGGGGTTTAGGAAAGGTTCCCCCATGCATATACTATATGGCTTTGTACATTTAAATATGCATCAGTCTTTGGAATGCAGAATATACAGCAAACAAACAAACCACCTGATCCACTCTACGGTGGCTTCCCAGCACTTCAGATATTAGTAGCATAATGTGCTACTAGTAGAAAGAATAGGTAAGGCTTGATGTGAGAGAAAAAAAGCAGGGCAAACTACAGTAAGTACATTTTAAAGCCAGCTGCAGCAGTACTCCTCTCCCATCATTCTTTGGGGTCTTCTAAACATAAAATTCATTAGCATCACTTGCAAGCACCTCCAGAACAGGCAATAAGCTATCTGCTGTGCTGTAACCATTTTCAGCTCCAACTTTTCTTCCAGTCAGGTAACAGCTCTTTATCTCATGGACTTTGTAAGTCTAAATAAAGTTCAGTAATGCAAATGAAAACAAAACCAGAGAACCCATGGCTTGAGCAATAACTCTGTCTATACTTTCCTTTGAAAGAGGAGAGTGCTTCATTTGTTTGATTTAGAAACTATCATTAAGAGGATGTAATAGATTTGCAAGTAGCTAATCCAGACACTAGCTAGGATATTTTTCATTACACAGTGGATGTTTGTCAAGTCTTTGCAATAGTATGCACAATGAATCATAACACACCATACTTGTTAGAAAGATTACTTAAAACTTTCTATTAACTCTCTTTATATTTTAGGTAGATTAAGTTTTCATAATTAGGAGTCACATACAGAAATATCTACACATTTAATGAGTTGACGAACTGCCACACAAATCATCCCCGTTTGTTTTGTTTTGTTTTGTTTTTTTAAACCAACTGACTAACCTGCATGTTATTGATTTAAACACAACAGCACAACCTAACAGCAGTATGCTTGTGCAGGCAACTAACTCATAGTGCAATACCTTTTGTTAATAACAAAAGCAAGGTGAGAGCTGGGTTGAAGGACATCTTTGTAGGCTACAAGGGGATTTATTTCAGCTCAATTTCAGGAGTAAAATTTGCATTTGAGAAAGCTACAAAGATTTTTGTTTGTTATTTCAATAACAGAAATTTACAACATTCTCCACTGCACAGATATATGTTTCCTCTTGCACTTTCTACCAACATTAAGCTCCAGGAAAGACCTAATTGCTTCTGTGCAGTGACTAAGTACCAAAGAGTCTCTATTTTAGAACCCCTACAGGGCTATTGGTAGAATCACAGACATTCAAGGATGTACTCGGAATCATGCTCGGGTGAATAACGCTGATATACCCAGATGGGACAACAGGAAAAGCCCAAAATGATATGTACCTTTATACTTGCAAGAGACTTAAAGCAGACCAGAACCCTCAGCCTAATGCAATCAACATGCTTAAGATGGGTATGGTCTTGTTAATAACTCCATTCAGCTATGTAACCTAGTTTCCACATTACCTTCCTTTTAATAGTGTTACTGCTTCTGCCCAAAACACACCATCACATCACATTGTGTAGCATCTAAAAATGTTACTGAAGCCTGTAGATGAGTTATTTTATCAGGCACTTCACTGTCAGAATGAAATGGTTCTGTAAACCCCAAAATAATGCACATACCACACTTACTTAGCCAGAGCACTGAAGGAATGGCTGAAAGACTTCGCAGCTAGATGGAGCAGAGTCTGTACAAAAACTTCTATTTTCAAAGGATTGAAGGTGAGTCCTTCATCTGCAAGTTATTTAAAGTTAAAACAATAAGTACTTCAAGTAGAGGTTTTAAGTTGCTCCAAAATCTTTAAAGATAATTTTTGTAAAATGAATTAAAACAATAAATTAAGTTTTCAGTGACTGGATTTTGCAAGGCTGAACAGGGAGTTAGTAAATATCTTCTAAAAGGTGCAGATCTTGGGACTTCCACCTGTCATGGAGAAAACATGCAGAAATAGTTCCAGGTTAACAAGAAATAGCAGCAGAGAGCGAGCTATGCTAGTCGCATCTAACAGTGCTGATGGAGAGAAGCAGGGAACAACAGGTGAAGACGCTGCAGAAGTCTGCATCGGGTTGGAGACAAGGCAGGTCATAGAGCATGGGAAAGGGGGAATGGATGAGAAGAGAAGAAGCTGCAGATGATTATAATAGAGGTTGGGTATTTGTAACAGTTGGGGAAGGGGGGCACCGATTGTGCATAGGGGATGTGGGACATTTGAGGTGAATGGTTCTAAATCCCCTGGACACTGCTGTAGACCTGCTGGCAACAACAGGTAAGAAAAGATACATCGATTACTATGTGGTCTTTATAGCAAATAAAGGAAAACGACGCTGGCTCTCAAGCAGAAAAAAAAGGTTCACTGCTGCTCTGTGCGTGCATAACACTTGCAGAATATTGCAGCATTACTCCTCAAACCTGTAGCTCACACTCCTTTCAGACCCCAAGAGCACAATGGCTTTGGAAATCGAGCATTAGGTGTGGCTGGACCAACAGCAAAACTGGAAAAAACTTGAGCAAAGTCCTATTATGAGAATGACAGTTTCATTTAGATCTAGGGAAAGCTAAGATAGCCAGGGTGCTAGCTTTAACTTGCTATGGGACTATATCAACAGGACGCAAGCTCATAAGTAGGATAAAGGCACTGGATCTTCAGGACAAAGCCGACATCATAAAATGAGCTGAAGGCAAAGGAAAATGTTAAAAATCCTCCATGCCACCTCTGTGGATAATTAGCAGAACCCACATCAAGGGCCAGGTTGCTTCTATTAACTAGAACAGACCTGTCTCTGTACACGACAAGAACAGAAGAAACACTGACAGTTGTATGTTACTTCCATTTATTGTTAAACAGAAACCAACTATTAGAAAGGAAAGCAGTTCAATTAGCAGCAGAAACCATAACTACAGGACAGTAAAATGGTTTAGATGCAAAACTAATAACAAACTTGCAATGCCTAATATCAGATGTCCTTACCATCGTTGTCATCCTTATTTGGATTAGGCACATCTTTTAAAATGTTGAAGATTTCATCATTACTGGCCTTACTTTTAATTGCAATCGTTAAACAGAGTGCTACAGTATACCCAGGAAGAGACCCTAAATGAAAACAGAAAGTTCATATAATCCTTTTCAAGTCTAGGATGGAATGAATATTTTTACACCAGCATGTTTCTCAGAGAAGCATGTACACTTCCCAGTTACCCCCAAAACTTGCTGCTCCCAATACCACTGTCCACATGACCATTCCATAAAATTCATCGACGAGTTTCCTATTCTTCACAAATTGAAGCCCTTTTCTAGCACCTTCAGAGTTGAGGGGGAAGTAACTCCCCTGATTAAAACTCCATTCTAATTTCCATCAGCTTTTTGAAAATACAATACTTACCTGCATTTTCTCACTTACCTCTGCCTTTGATGACAGATCCTTCACATGATTTGCTGCCTCTCTGCTTGCATCATTACACCAAATTTGGTTAGTAAAATCTTTTATTAAGTACCCCATTCATTCAAAAACAAGTCCATATTATCTTTTGCTACATTAATTTCTGCACAGTATTCTGCCTGAATGATGGAAATAAATGAAATTTTCTTTTTTTAGACTCCTGGCAAACCAAAGCAATGCTGTAGCACCTAGACTGCAGTCACCTCAGCATGATTTAACTTCATACAGCTAGACTTCTTTTATTTCTTAAAAAAAGGTTTAGATTAGAAAGATCCAGACATAGCACTAGATCAAAATCAAGCATATTTATTTCAGCTGAGGTCTCCTTCATGAAGTTAAGTGACTTAACACTCAAGCTAGGACATTCCCTTACTTGGAATTCAAATTTCAGTAACTTAAATACTTACTGTTGCTTTCATCTCCATATTTGTAAATACACACTGGGTTTGCAGGACTGAGGACAGAAAAGCTTGGAGGAACAATGTCTATTATTCGCTGATGGTAGGAAAGCCTACAAAAGTAAGTTTCACAGCAGTAGAATTATAATGGCATATCATCATCAGGGCTGATGCAACTCACTGATTTAAAGTATTTTTCTTATTTTTTTAATTTGGACTGTGCAAAAAAAAATAAATCAAAACGTTTATTCAATGCAATAGTAGTTCCTGACAGATAGCAAGAGCTAACAATCAAAACTTTGTAGTAGATGCTTAATACTAGAATTTCATCCTCACACAAGTCTAAGATGCTCTGGAGGCAACTGGTAAAATACCTATATTAAAAGCACAGGGGGGGAGAAAGAGAAAAAAGAAAAAAAAAATTAAACCAAACAGCTTCATTTTACCTTCCATCTTACTTACCTTACAAACACTGAATTCCTCTACTAAATTCGCAGTAAAATCAAAAGGAGCCACAGACAAAATGAAATCTTGTTGTAGCACAAATTTCACACTTTGTATATTAAACTCTCGCAAAACAACAGGTAAGCTTTTTCCATGCAAAATACTGAATTACATAGGTTCTTTGAACATTTTGGTCTTTCACTCTCCTATATCCCCCATTTCCACAATCATTAGCCCAGTCTTGACAGCTGTTGTGCTTTTGCAGCTTCTTTTTAAGGTCTATGAGAATCGGAGATGCCCAGAACAATAACGATACTTATTTATCTTAAACTAGGGATATAATTAACCCCCCTATTTCTGTGAATAATCACTGTTTTCCAGCAAATTACCTGAACTCTTTTTTCTTCCCTGCCTGCCCTATTATAATTTTTTTTTACGTATCCAGAAAGAGTAAAGCCTTCTTAATTTGTACCTAGAAGGATGTTACCTCCGCTCGCTCCACCTATTTGTCCCCCAGTCCACTAGGAAAAGCAGTGCCCCACAACAGATACACTAGAACAAAACTGAGCAAGACAACAGAACAGACTAGCTAAAAAAGTTAACTGAGAAAATGTGTATGTTTAAGACAAGAGCCACATTAAAAGCAATGCATCATTACCTGGAAGTAATGGCCAAACTTCAATTTAACTTAACTACAAAAGCAAGATGTTTGGATGTTGTCTTACTTACCTCATGCATTTTTCCAAAACCTCTCTCACAAATTTGGATTTGGGCTTCTCAAGGTCCTGAGTAAGACAGTCTGACCTATCAAAAAAAACCCAAAAACAACAAACCAAAACCAAAAAACCCCACATGATAATTTCTAACACCTGTATTTGCGTTCTAATCTGTTTTGGTCTGATACAACAGGTAGGGAACATTCACTGGATAATCACAATTCATAAAATCATTCAGGTTGGAAAGAATCTCAGGAGGCTACATACTCCCAACTTCCTGCTCAAAGCATGGTCAACAATGAATTCAAACCAGGTCACTCAGGGTTTTGTCCAATCAGTTCTGAAAATTTCCAAGGATGGAGATGCCACAACCTCTCTGGACCCCTGTTCTAGTGCTTATCCTCACAATGAAATATTTTGCTTTATATCCAGATGGAATGTCTTCTGTTTGAATTTATGGCCACTGTCTCTTGTCCTCCTGTCACGTACCTCAGTAAGGAGACTGGCCCCATTCTCTCAGTAACCTCCTTGTGGGCATTAGAAGGCTGCTATTAAGTCCCCCTGAAGCTTTCTTTTCTCCAGGCTGAACAAGCACAGTTCCCTCAGCCTCTCCTCACAGAGCATGTGCTGCAGCCCCCTGTGGTGGTACACACACCCCCCCTTTAGGCCACTCAGTACTTGGCGTGATTTCCTCCCCACCTGGGCCACATAATAACACAATGGACCAGAACGTAACATAACGGTCTAACATAAAAGAAAGAAAAGGTGGAGAGCAACAAACCAGAACACAATAGTGTGCCTGGTCCCCATGGCTCCTACCATTTGAAGATAACTATAATCGATCACTCCTGACAACATATGGATCATGGACACAGAGGGGGGGGATACCAGGACCCCAAGAACTAGCAAGTTCTGGGCTTGCACAACCAGTGGAAAGTACCGGAATATTCCATTGTCCAAGCTGGGCCAGAGTGGAAAAGTACATGATGAAAGTCAATTATCTCGGATCCTATAAGTAGCGATTCTAATAAAGACCCTTTGAGCTTTTCTGGATTGCAGTGGGCTGTGGCCAGTATCTCCCCTGAGCTGGGACACCGCTCAGGCAGACATCTCAAGACATCTCAAGGCCAGGGCAAGTCAACACCTCTCAAGTCTCAATTATCGCCTTTGAGGAATGCTGATGTATTGTGAGTATAACCCTAAACTCGTGAAAGGGCAATTTTTACTATAGGCTAGCCTCTCTTCTATTACCTCTCCACCTATATGTTTATGATATATACACATTAGCTTTATGGATGTGGATGTTCTTCTGTTTGTCTGTGCACATGTAGGAGTTAGAAGGGGTACCCGCCAGCTTATTAGAGTTGTGCAATACTAAGGGATCATCAATCTCAGTGGTTATAGACTGGGGGGGGAGGCGCACACTTCTATACTTTGCTTATATGTATATGCATTAATTTGAGATCTGTGCTTTCGCTCATATGTATATGTATTGATTTGGAATAGCTTATATTAAGTCAGTGTGAATCTTGTCATCTTCAAATCTGTAATTAAGTCACTGTTCAATTATTTTGTTAAATCACTTTGTAAATCTTTAAATTGGTTAACGATTAAGTGCTGATAAAATTCAACCTCTTGGTCTACCTCAAATTGTTAATAAATTTTGAATCACTGCTAAATCATAACCGTGTCAAATATTTCAATCCATAACACCCCCTGACCAGCTTGGTGGCCCTCTGATTAACTCCCACCAGTTTCTCAATGTCTGTCTTGTATTGGAGGGGGCAAAACTGGACACAGTACTCTAGATGAGGTCTAACAAGTGCCAAGTAAAGGGGAATAATCACTTCCCTCAATCTACTGGATGCACTCCTGTTGACACTGCCCAGGATACTGTTTGGCCTTTGTCACTGCCGAAGCACACTACTGGCTTTTGTTCAGCCTATTGACCACCAGGATCCCCAAGTTCTTTTCAGCAGAGTTGCTCCCCAGCCAGTCAGTCCCCCACCTGCACCATTGCAGGGCGTTAGTTCACTCCAAGTACAGGACTCTGCATTTGTCCTTGTAGAATTTTGGGAAGTTCCTCTCAGGCCATTTCTCCAGCTGAAATAGGTAGGTCCCTCTGAATGACAGCCTTGTCCTCAAGCATATCATCTGCACCCCCAAATGTAATGTTGTCTGCAAGCTTGATGAGAGTACATTCTGTCTCCTCCAGATAAAGATCTTAAACAGGACAAGTCCCAAGATTGACCCCTATAGGACTCCACTTGTAACCAGGCTCCAGGTAGAGTACAAACCATTAACCACTACTCTCCGAGCCTGACAAACCAGAAAGGTTTTCATTCATCTAGATCATAACAATCCAATTTGGATACAAGGATTCTGTAGGAGACCACATAAAAAGCTTTTCTTAAGTCAAGATGGATGACATTCACTGCTCTCCCCTCATCCACAAATTTAGTCCTTTCATTATACAAGGCAATAAGGTTGGTCAGGCATGATTTACCCTTGGTAAACCCATACTGACTGTTCCCAGTCACCTTCTTATCCCCTGTGCTCAAAAATGCATTCCAAGAGGACTCGCTCAATGATTTTCTCAGGGACCAAAGTGAGACTGACAGGCTTATAGTTCCACAGATTGTTCTGTTGGCCTTTTCTGAAAATGTGTGCAACATTTACCTTTCTCCAATTATCAGGGACCTCTCCTGATCTACACAGCCTTTCAAAAACAATAGCTTCACAAAGAAATCAGTCAGCTCTCCCAGCACCCTCAGGTGCATCCCATCTGGTCCCATGAATTTGTATGGATTGAGATTTCTCAAGAGATCCATGACTTGATCCTCTTCCACTACTGGTAAATCTTCTCCTCCTTGAACACTATCTCTAAGCACAGAGACTCAGGAGACCATGTTTGTGAAGACTGAGGCAAAAAAGGCATTGGTTACCTTAGCTGCTGTCACTAAATTACCTGCCCCATTCAGCTGCACGCTTGCATTTTCCTTGTTTATTCTTTTACTGATAACATAGTAGCAGAAGCTCAAATTTCCCTTTATGTCCTTTGCAAATCTTAATTCAAGCCGAGCTTTGGCTTTCCTAATACCATCCCTGCATGCCCAGGCAACATTTCTAAATTCCTCCTTTGTAGACTGTCCTTGCTTCAACCTCTAATGCACATCCTTTTGCATTGGACCTCAGTTATGATCTCACTGATTAGCCAAGCTGGCCTACTTGGTTACCTGAGTATCAGGATAGACCATTAATGTACTTGGAGGAGGGTGTCCTTAAAGACCTGGCAGCTCTTTGGAGTTCCTTTGACCTTCAGAGCTGTCTCTCATGGGATCCTCCCTACCAGTCCTGTGAATAAGACCACATCTGCTCTACTGAAGTCTAGGATCTATACTCTGCTACTCTCCTTCCTCACTCCCCTAAGAATCTTGAGCTCCACTATTTTAAGGTCACTACAGCCAAGGCTGCTATTGATTATCACATCCTCAACCAGTTCTTTCTTGTTAGTGAATAGCAGATTCAGCTATGTGTGTCACTCTTGGTTGGCCCATCCAGTACCCGTGTCAAGAAGTAATTCCTGACACCCTCCAGAAATCTCCTTGACTATTGCACTGGTTCCAGCAGGGATGGGGTTAATTTCCCCAAGGAGCCGGCAGGGGGAAGGTATTCCATACCACATGACCCATTCCCGGGCTATAAGAGGAGCTAGCCAGGGAGAGGAGAGCAGTTGCCACTTGGGGGTGGGCTGTGGTGGTGTGTGTCTGGTTGGTGTGCTTTGCCATCTGGTTGGTGTGCTTTGCCGCAGTACTGTAATCGTGTCTTCATATCCCTTTATTGGTGTTACTGTGTTGTTTTCATCTTCCCTTTTGCTGTTCTGTTAAATTGCACTATTTTTAACCACGAGTTTTGCCCTGTCGATTTTTTTTTTCCCCATGGCTGTGGGAGTGGAGTGAGCGGCTGCGTGGTTCTTTGTTGCTGGCTGAGGCCAAACCACAACGGTCCTTTTGGACACCCAATGTGGAGCTTGAAGGGTTGCAATAACAACAGATCTGACCAGAGCTTGTTAAAACAAATTTCTTATATGCATTTCTTGTATAAGTTAGATAGTCGCCAGTTACAACGTTTGTTTGCGTGGCTGTGCTATGTAAATTCTTCTATGCTCTATGTACTCCCCGTGATGCTGTTTGTTATCTCAGAGAGAGGGATCAGGGCTACCATTTTGCTGTCCTGTGCAATATCAGCTTATGATATGATAACATCACTATTGAGGTGGCTTTGTTGGGGTGTCTATGCAGCATTGCTGTCCTGTCCATACCTTGGTTACCGTCTCTCAGAAGTTATTAATATTAATATCAATATTACTCATCACAGTTCTTCATCTGCACACAGAGCTCTCAGAACGCATCTACTCCTCATGTAGACTTGAGAATACCACTCATGTCCTTCACCTTTGTCCCCAGAGCTCTGTAGTTACTCTTGATATATTCCAGGTCTCTCCTGGCAGTGTTATTGGTGCCCACATGGATGAGCAGCAAGATGTCCAAGGGCCAGACAAGTCTTAACAGTCTCTCCACAACCATCCTAGATATGGGCCCTTAGCAAGAAACAAACCTTCCATGACAGCATGTCTGGTCAGCAGATGGATGCCCCTATCCCCTGCAGAAAGGGATCTCTAACCATTATCATCCACAGCTGCCTCCTGGTGCTCATGCACAATTCATGCCCAGCTGGCTCTGAAGCCTCCCTTACAGAGCCTGCTCCCATGCATTACCTATTACAGGACTGTACTGATCCTATAAGTTCAACTCTAAGGGCAGAGAAGGAGCCTTTCTCCTGCTCCAGAAGTTACAAGTCTCCGGCCTTCCCCATCTTGGCTATCTCTATCCACCACTGGCTTAAGTGTAGCTTCTTGCTGTCCCTTCTTCCTTGCGCTATGTGGCTCAGGCTCTGGTCTTTGCAATGTCTCTGCGCAGACCCTGTTGATCCGTTTGCCTTCCTTAATGCTACAACAGCCTGCTCGCTTCCTTACACAGCTCCTTTACCTGGTGACTCTGCTCTTTGACCAGAGCACACCTCCCACAAGCAGAGCCACCACTACCTCCCGCTTCAGGCAATTCCTGCAGCCCCAGACCTTGACAGCGACATTCTTCTTCTAAAGCTCCATCTGGAACAAGGCTCTTAATTTACCAGGGGTGTTGTTTCCAACCAGTGCTAGGGGCAGAGCCCTGTGGCACATCACCACAATTGCTGTGCAGCCCCGCACTGTCTAGAGCTCCCTGGTGTGCTGACCGCCCTTTCTGTTTTCTGTACTCTGGGAGCTGTATTTCTGCTTACCAGCTAAACAGGCGTCACCCATAGCAGCTGACCAGCAAATCCCTAGTCAGTAGACTGTTTTAGACTTTCATGTTTTACAGTGTACGCAATTTGAAGATAAGGAGCCAGTCTATCGCTATTTCCTTATTGGCCATTACCAATCTTAGGATTCCCTTCTTCATAAGGTAACTTTTTGAATGGTTGCTCTGAAAAATTAAAGCAGTGTTTGTTCTGTTGGTTAGACTGCTTTCCCGAGGAAACAAAGCTTGTATGATTTCACTATGTTCCTCCCTCCAAACAATTTTTGGGTTCTTAGCTGATATTAAATACATTTCAGAGAAAGAGAAGTCTCAAAGACAGTTATATTCTTAAAAGTTTTGTGAAAACTGGCAGCTTGGTAGAAAGATATCCGCATCAGTGTTCCCAACAAGGGGAATGCAGGCAATGAAAAAACAGCTCTTTGGACGCTCCCACTAGGTCAGTCAACATGAACAAACTTGATAAGCAGCAAACGCACAACTCCCAATTAGCACAACACAGGGAACATAAGTAAATCTGAAGCAATGCATCACATACAGGGCTGCACCCCTCTTCCCAGGGACACCTAGGCACGTTGGCTATAGGATGCAGGTATGGTAGCAGGTTGCAGAAGTTAGAGTGTAGGGAGGACTAAGCCCCCAAGTAATCTTTCTTTATACGTGGGAACAGGACAGGATGGGAGTAAGCAGAAGGCATGGTACATAGAATCATAGAATGGTTTAGGTTGGAAAGGACCTTGAAGATCATTGAGTTCCAACCCCCCTGCCATAGACAGGGACACCTCCCACTAGACCAGGTTGCCCAAGGCCACGTCCAGCCTGGCCTTGAACACCTCCAGGGATGGGGCCTCAACAACCTCTCTGGGCAACCTGTTCCAGTGCCTCACCACTCTCATAGTGAAAAATTTCTTCCTAGTGTTTAATCTAAACCTAAACATGGAATACAAGGCTTTGGGAAAGCTATGGTTAGGCACTGAGGGGGTGCAGGGAGCTCCTGCTAGAAGCCAAGAGATCAAGATTCAGGGGAAGGGTGGCAGGTGTCATGTTAGGATGGCACTCAGAGAGTGAGGTTACACATATGAATGTAGGGAGCCAAAGGGAAGGAGAGTCAAGGCAAATTACTGATAAGTAGGAGAACTCTTTTGAAAAGCTTGCAAACAACTGACTGAGGTGATAAGGACAAAAATCACAAACAAATCAGGTTTACAGAATACAGTACTGCTTAGATATTCATTACAGAAAACTGGGATTGTTTTTATAGTGACTAAAGGTTACCAACCTTGTCTACCAAGCAACAGTAGTAAACAGTTGGGGGCAGGGGTCAAAAGCACGAGTGGAAAGCAGTTAACAGAACCATTATGTTGTGACATTTGCTGGATAAGTTTGAAGGTTTAAGTTCTGATGTGAAACAGACTGACTTACCAATCCTCCCAGCTCCAACGGAACTGGAAGTTACTCAGGTGGTGGGAAAACCAGTTAATAAACCTTTTTTAAAAGAAGAAAGCTCTATTAAATACCAGAATTGCAAAGAAAAACAACAAACAAAAAAAATCCCCACAAACCTCCTAACTGACAAGTAGAATACATCTATAAAAAAATCTCAAAGATAAACCCAAACTCTCTAATCTGTAGTCATTAATGCATTAAATAGGCATTGATGTTGACTTATACAAAAAGACTGAATTGAGAGTCAAAAGCCAGCCTTTAAGGATGAATGTGCAGTCTGTCTTGTTCTGGTGCATATACAAGACTAATGACTTATTGAAATAAGCAGTGAAAAGGACTTACTGCAAGTCTACAGGTTTTCACATTTTTGCACAGTAATTTTAGTTCTACATAATGCAGACCACTCAAACCACAGAAACACCACTGTTCTTTTCCAGCTAGCCAACCTTCCCATAAACCCACTTCCAACCCTTTCCTTCCTCAGGCCAATAGGGAGGAGAAAGTAGCACATAACAGAAAGGAGTATGGATGTGGAAGAGTTGTCATAGTTTTTATAGCTGCACTGTATAGCTAATCAGAGTAGTGACTTGAAGGAAAGAGTTTCTGAGGGAAGAAAAGCAAGTGGTCAGTCCGTCCCTTACCTTCTCTTCAGATGGCTCAAGTCTAGAGCCCCAAAAACATTTTGTACAGAATCAAAGTGTTTATCAATGATTTCAGATGATCCTTTTAAAAAATGCATCAATATCCAATGCACAAAAAAATGAGAAACATTTTCTGTTGTCGCCATAATTACCTGTCTATACATGTAGTATTCATTGTATCCAAGCGCATGTAAAGCATTTCTGTGGCTTGTGCAAGCTGAAAGTTTCTTATTAAAGTTAACAGAGAAGCATCTGAAATCATAAGTTACTCTCTCCATTTTTCAGAGATGATGTCGTCAACTCTCTACTGACAGCTCCTTGTTTCTACATCATGACTTACCCCATTTTGAAAAGGCCACAGGAATAAATAAAAAATGAAGCATGCAGTTTTCCCCAATAAGTAACATCTATTCTCTAATCCAAGTCTGTTTTTCTTCCATTGCTTATAGTGAGATCATTAGCTGCTTTTACTGGAAGCCAGAATCCCCACCATGAGACAACAAAAACTGCACACTAATGATATGAATGGACATCAACCTCGTTATGGACCACATTTTTATGATCTCACAGTTTTAGCTTCACATGCCTCTGTTACTGCCTAATCAATGGACCATCTTTGCTCATCATTAACAGCTCAAGAAAGTACATCCACGCTGGCCTGACCTAAAGACCATGGCCAGCCAACCCTGATCCTTTGTTGCTGTATCCCTATCGATACTTACTGCAAGCAGGTCCCCAGAGTTTAGGCTATGTGGTTAGAATCACTGTGTGATTTCAAGCAGTAGAATAAAAATTTGGGAATGAAATTACCAGTAGGTATGTCTGTTAGTCCTCCATTCTCAGTGACTGTAGCTCATTAGCCACAATCTAAAGCTACTAAAACTAAATCTAAAAAGGGGCCAATGCAACACTCAGAATTAGCTAGGAGCTGATACCTCCTTCTTCACCATTAGCTACTCTCTGACCTGAGAGATTATTATTGACTTTATTAATAATCCTAGTCCATTTCAGTGCAAACTCAAACAGGTTAATTTAAATTATCTACTACACTTTGCAGTGAAATGGACTAGGAGCATTCATACCTCTGTTACAACAAAAGATTTAAGAAATTAATTTCCTTTTCCAGGTTTTAATGTGACTATAACCATGCCACCAGCTGCCCTGATGTAAAAACAGGGCTCAAAATCATGCAAGTTATTTATTCCATCCCTTGGCTACAAGAGGGCTCCTCAAAAAGACCTGTGGAGGAATCAGAACGCGGTCTCTCAGTTTGCCTGGTCTGCAAGCTAAAGAACAGACTTAGATGTGAATGCAGGCTTTACTTATGCCTGTTGAGCTGTGTTATTCCTTCATGTGAACAGTGTTATTGGCAAAGTTTCATACAGCTAAATATGGAAAGAAGGAAAATTTATTACTGCTGACATTTATTGCTATTCCATCTTGTACAGAACAAAAGAAAAAAAATACTCTATATTAAAAAGGCTCTTTAGCAGCATGAAAAGGATACAACTTGTGGTAAAGAGCCAGGCTGGAGTTTGCACAGTTCAATGAGAAGTGCTGTGTACATAACCTCAATATGTGGTGGAGATGGAAGCTGAAACAATTCTGCAAATATTACCTACATGGGAGGAAAGCACAGAATCAAAGAACAGTCAGACTCAGCCTGCACAGTCCTGAACTTGAGAACGGCAATGCACACATTCAACAATTATATACCAAAACAAGGCCCATTTTATTCTGTCAAACTCACATTCTGGGAATAAGAGAGAAACTTTAAAAGATAGTGCAAACTCTTCACCATACTAATATAAGCCTCCTTAATTACCCCTATCATTTTAGATTAATGCCATGCATAAGACTAGCATTATGCAACAATTCTGTTACGTCTAATAAATACAATGAACAGTGTAGAAATGTGCACTGAGTTATTGCATAAGCTAATGCAATATTATAGCGGAATCGAAGGAAGGAAGTGAGCAAGCTAGCTGAATTCATCTGCTCCTGACCTAGGAAAGTATTAAATGAAAGATACGCATTTAACATGAAAAAACAGTTGCATGAAGGTGACATCTGTCCCTTTCTTATAGCACTGTGTTTACTTTACTCACACCTAAAAAGTTATATAAGGGTATTTGCATGTCTGTTAGGCAAAAAACTGCTCCTATCCTCAGGATACAAAACAGAAAAAAAAAAAACAACAAGCAAAAACCCAAGAAAACAAGATAAGGACTGATCTACCTGAGACATTACATAGGGCCATGTTTTTGAAATTCATCAAGTGTTCATTATCAATGAACATTATTATACAAGTTTCAAACTGGCATATCGTACCGGGGGGGGGGGAGAAGTCACCTGGCTACCTGGAAGATCCAGGCACTGATGACATACTCAGACTCTGTAAAGCTTAAGTTGTAAGTTTTTATGTTGCTTCGACACTTTGCTTTGACAGACACCAATAATACCAACACATACATCTATGTGAAGATATTAAGAAAAAGGGGCCACACTTCAGTGTTTCACACAGACTACAGAGTAGTATGGAGAATTCTGAGCTTGGCCTTATGAACTTTAAAGACATGAGGTCCCACAAGTGGGTTTATTGAAAAGGGATAGAGTGCTTTCAGTTTATATTTACTTCTGCCTTGCAAATAAAGAAAAGTGTTGTTTTAACATTTAGAAAATATTAGTTAGGCTAAATTATACCTATTGCTCTATGTTCATCTGCAAATCAAGGGAAATCTCTTAGAGATGTTTATTATATTGTAGTTGAAGGCAATGTATTATCAACTTGACAGGACTTACAAGGAAATAGCAATAAGCAAACAGAATACATGGCTGCAAAATTCACACTAAAGTTTAAAACACTGCAGCTCTGTTGAAAACATTTGTAGACAAGAAATAAGGTTAGTATTCAAAAAATTTCAAATACTTGGGAGGGAAACCAAGGAAATTAGCAGTTATGTTAAACAGTTTGCATATTAGCTTTCCATTTCTTCTCAGTAAAAGGACAGGCAAGGAAGGAGAGGTGGGAGGCTTGCCATCTGTGTAAAAAAAAAAAAAAAGGATTGATTGCACACAGCTGTCTTTGAAAGACAGTGATGAACAGGTTGAGAGCTTATGGGTGAAAATTAGAGGCCAAGCCAACAAAGGAAACCTCGTGGTTGCCATCTACTATACTATACTTTACTTCAAGTACAGGAAGCATCACACTTGCAGGCTCTGATCCTATTGGGGGACTTCAACCATGCTGACATCTGCTGGAAAAGCAGTGCAGCAAGCTGCAAGCAGTCTAGGAGACACATGGAGAACATCAAGGATAATTTCTTAATCATAGAATCACAGAATGGTTTGGGTTGGAAGGGGCCTTTAAAGATCATCTAGTCCAACCCCCCTGCCCCTTTATATAATATATAAAGCCCCATCTATGTATTGAAAGGCCACAATAACGCCTTCCTGGAGCCTTCTCTTCTTCAGGCTGAAAAATACCAACTTTCTCAGTCTTTCATCACAGGAGAGGAGTTCCAGCTCTCTGACCATTTTTGTAGCCCTCCTCTGGACCTGCTCTAACAAGCCTGAAAGGCAGGTTGCTCAGCCTGAAGAAGGCTCCAGGGAGACCTTATTGTGGCCTTTCAATTCATAAAGGGTGCTTATAAGAAAGATGGAGAGAGACTTTTTACCAAAGCCTGCAGTGACAGGACAAGGGGCAATGGTTTTAAACTGAAAGAGGGTAGGTTTAGATTAGATATTAGGAAGAAATTCTTTACAGTGAGGGTGGTAAGACATTGGAACAGGTTGCCCACAGAAGTTGTGGATGGCCCGTCACTGGAAGTGTTCAAGGCCAGGTTGGACAGGGCTTTGAGCAACCTGATCTAGTGAAAGATGTGCCTGCCCATGGCAAGAGGGTTGGACTAGATGATCTTTAAAGGTCCCTTCCAACTCAAACCATTCTATGATTCTAAGAATTTCATCTCTACAAACTTTGGTTATTTCCAGATTTGATGAGATTCTGAATCAAATAATTTTTCAAGGCCTTTAAGTAGTCTGGTTAATCATGATCTGCAATAACTGTTTTTGGAAGTAATGTGTAACTGAGCATAAAGTAATATTCTGTAAAACAGTTGTACAAACACCTGAGGTTTTATGGTCCCTTAAAGTACTTAGATGTTAACGGCGGAAGAACTTTACTAACTCTAAGATTTCTCTTGACTAAGTATGGAACAGGGCATTCAGAATATTTGGGGTTTTGGTGCAAAGTTGAATTGTTAATCCCATCTTGATTAAGGTAAGCATTCCACAATCTTATGACTTCTTGCAATTAGCTCTGAATTGTGTTTCTAGTTACATGACAATTTGCTGTTATTACTGCAATCACTTTTTATCTTTTAACTTTAGACAGGAGTTTTTGAAGCAAGTTTTATACAGCTCTGCATCTTGTTAGCAGTCCGCTGAAAGGAGGCAGCAAGACGAAAACTACATTCCTATTCTAATATATATTTATGGTTATTTAAAATCCTCCAACTTGAAGGAGAAAACATACCACTATTTCACAACAAATGCCTTTCAGGGGCATTGGTATACAATTCATCCAAGTGACTTAGAAGATCACTAAAAAAAGTCTAACTTAAGTCATTTTTATTTGCAAGATCTTTTAAGTGCAGTCATCTGCAAGACAGTCTAGTACATCAGAGTGATTAACACGGAGAAACATTCAAGAACAGCTTAAGAAATACCACGACTTGGAACACTGTTGCACCGTAAGATCCTGATTCCTGAACAAGGCTCCTAAACATCACATAAATTAATAACAATAGTAATAATAATAACAGTTGAATTTATTATTATCTAACCTGTTCAAAGCCGTTGCACTTTAAGTCAACAGGATAAGACTGCAGACTCCTAAATCATACTGTAATTTAATAGATCCATCATGGAGTTAATTGGGGTTTGTTACTTTGGAAATAAAGAGGTTATCTGTAAAACACATACCTCTACTATATGGTAGTTCAAGGGGATCTTATTATTTCCTGGATAGCTCAACAACTGCGCAGCACTGCAAATTAACAGATACATTTAGTTTAAACTGAAACAGCAAAAAATATATAGATACTAAATAGATATGAAAGACTTAATTCTTTGCAAGAGTTTACCCTTATAAAGCAGGTAAAATAAGCAGACCTCAAAGACTGAAATTGTCTATTTATCCACAGAACACATACAAAAAACCTGGCACAAGCTCTTAACAGCAGTACCTGAACCACAGTTCAGAGAGACATATTTCATCTCCATACCCAAGCAATGCTTGAACACATATTGCTAAACAAAATGCAGTTTTACATAGACCCTCACGGTGACCTGTGATGCTGTCATCTGTTCACTAAAGGACAAACTACATTGGTATATCAGGAAAAATAAAAAAAGAAATCCAAACAATAGATTTGCTTTCCAGTCATTCTCAACCCATCAAACTAATGGGCTACAGAAAACATATTAGTGTTACAAATGAATTGATTAAAAGATACAATATCACCCATTATTTATAAAAAGAAAAAAAAATGCTATTTTTCAAATTTTAGCTCTCTAGCACTACGTATAACCTCCCTCTAGTCTTACTTTCTTTGGGGAAATAAAGGAGTCCCCTCCATTAACTTCAACAGTGCTGTATTTCTAGTCTCTGCTGAGTCAAAAAGCTGTAACCAAAAACCTACAACACATATCCGCACCAAAAACACCATTCCTGCCTAATTTTTGCACAGTATACCAAGTTTGCTGGTTCTTACTTGGGAGCACAAGAGCGCCAAATATCTGTGGTAAATTATCTAGGTTACCAATTACCCATATCAGAGACTATTTCAGCAGAAATTAAGAAATCTAACTGGACTGTTGCCTGACAGCAAAAAGAATTGCAAGAGAAGTGTTAAGATTGACTTCAATGGAAAATTATTAGGAATGTCTGGGTGTGAAAGCACCAGAAAGAAGAGAGGGAAGGCAGGCCCTGAGTACACCCCCCCAAGGTTTTGCTGCTGGACTGTGGTGGGTTAGCCTTGGCTAAAAGCCAATACCACACACACACACCCCTACCCCCAGCTGCTTACTCACTCCCGTCTCCCACAAGATGGAGAGAAACCCAAAGGAAGATGAAAAGACTCAGGGATCAAGATAATAACAGTTTAATAGGGAGAGCAAAAGCTGCACATGCAAGCAAAGCAAAATAAGGATTTCATTCACTACTTCCCATTGGCAGGAGGATGTCCAGCCGCTTCCTGGAAAGCGGGGCCTTAGCATATGTAATGGCTGCTTAGGAAAACAAACACCATAACCATGAACGTCTCCCCCTTCCTCCTCCTTTTCTCAAACTTTTATTGCTGAGTACAATGTCATATGGTACAGACTATCCCTTTGGTCAGTTGGGGTCAGCTGTCCTGGTTGTGTCTCCTCTCAGCCTCTTGCCTACCCCCAGCCTACTTGCTGATGGGGCAGTGAGTAACAAGGCCTTGATGCTGTGCAAGCAGTGCTCAGCAGTAGCTAAAATATCTGTGTTATCAACACTGTTTTGGTCACAAATCCAAAGCATGGCACCATAACAGACTGCTATGAAGAAAATTAACTCCATCCCAGACAGACCCATTACATGGCCTTAAAATAATGACTTAGAAGAATGCTCAGCAGAGGTTCCCCCCCAACCCTTTTTACTTAAGAGCTGCTTTTAAGCTGAGGTTCTTGCACCTGGCCCTGCATGAGCTACACTGCAGTTGCATTGCATCTATGCCTACACCTGAGCTTTTACCTCTCCAATTCTGACCCACTGACTCAACCTCAGCCCTGCCTCATCACTACAGACTCGCCTGGCAATCACCGGACTGTGCTTGACCTTGGTTATCATCATGGACCTGCTCTGCTCCCGATTGGGTCCTGAGGGACTGCACCCTGTCGGTGAGGCAACTGCCCTGCCTGTGCTGGGGTCACAATCAGCTCCCCCTTCCTTGCAGGGCACCCTACCCTTGTGGCTCCCTGACAGGCTATAAGCATATGTTAATGTGACCTAGATTTACAGATCATCAAGATCCTAGCACACCTCTACCTGCAGCTTATCAGGATACTCAACTTGGAGAAAGGAAGGGCAGCCTAAAAGAAGTGATAGCTCACATCCAGACTAAAAGATTCAAGCTATTAAGAGATGATGGTGGGAAGACAGAAGAGAGCAGGAGCCACAAGACACCCAGATAAGGAGATACAGAACAGAAACCGAGCAAATCCTACTGACTCTCAGAGGTGTCCAACACAGGATGGAAAGACAAAAGATTGCAACCACTTGTCAACTCCTTAAGCATACAAAAAGGCCCCAAACCAGCACACAGTTGCCAAATGAAGAACAACCCAAGAGACACGAGGAGGACTCAGTAGTTGATGGGAATCCCTTAGAATCATAGAATCATTTTGGTTGGAAGAGACCTTTAAGATCACCAAGTCAAACCATTAACCTAGCACTGCCAAGTTACCACTAAACCATGTCCCTCAGCACTACATCTACATCTTTTAAATACCTCCAGGGACGGTGACGCAACCACTTCCCTGGGCAGCCTGTTCCAATGCTTCATAACCCTTTCAGTGAAGAAATTTTTCCTAATATCCAATCTAAACCTCCCCTGATGCAACTTGAAGCCATTTCCTCTTGTCCTACTGCTTGTTACTGGGGAGAAGAGACCAACCCCCACCTCTCTACAACCTCCTTTCAGGTAGTTGTAGAGAGCCATAAGGTGTCCCCTCAGCCTCCTTTTCTCCAGGTTAAACAACCCCAGTTCTCCTCATAAGACTTGTTCTATAGACCCCCCCCACCAGCTTCGTTGCCCTTCTCTGAACACACTCCAGTACCTCAATGTCCCTCCTGTAGTGAGGGGCCCAAAACTGAACACAGTACTCAAGGTGGGGCCTCACCAGTGCCGAGTACAGTGGGACAATAACTTCCCTAGTCCTGCTCACCACACTATTCCGGATACAGGCCAGGATGATATTGGCCTTGTCCTTGTCAATTCAAGTAATCTTGAACAGATTACCCAGATACAGCCATCTTGGTGCCTGACTGCTGGAGAGACCACTTGGCACTCACCCACATTTTGATGCCTGTGAGGGCGAGTGTGAGTGAGCTTTACTTCAGTTTTATTTTAAAATTAAATCACCTTCCCTTCCTATAAGGACTCTCATTGCAATTTGCTACATTGTTGCAACATAATTTCCTACAGCTGCATAGAACTTTAAATGATAAACTTTGTTGACACTGTACTGGCTCCCATGCAAACCTAGCTCAGTTATCTCTTCCATATAATTAGAAAAAGAGAAAAAAAGAATGGGATGAAGAAGAAGCAGGAGCAACAGGAAACTTCCACACAGAGACAGTTCAACACTCATCGTGTTTGTGCTGGAAAGCACAGCACAAGCACATTGAGAGACTCTCCAGCACTGCAGAGTGTTCTGTGCCATCCTCTGAAGAGAAATCCTGGATAATCCAGGATGCAATCATCAGGGTGCCTCAGCCCTACTGAATTACATGAACAATCCACGATCAGGATACTCCAGCCTCGCGTTATTCCAGATAAGACCGTCAACCATAGTTCACCAAACTTCAGGAAATGCTGAATTTCAAACTTTTACTTAAATGTTGTTGGGCTTTGAAGGTCCCTGATGTTAGGAGAAAGCATGATTGTATATACAGTGCTGGGAACCCATAACAATAAGCAGCATCTTACCAAGTCTTTCTCTCTTTCCAGTGGGATTTGATGATGCAGTGAAGGTTTTCTTCTATTACAAATCTTTCAACAGAATGACTGCCAGGCATGACAGGGCCCTATTAAAATGGAATCAAGATTGATGAAAGATCACTGTAGAGAAACATAATTTTTTAATACACGCACACACACATATATAAATAAAACTTGACAGATTCATTTAAGCACTCATTGAGATTTAACATCAACAAGTTTTAGCATCAACAGCTAAAAGACAGGCTTCAAACTTTAGGACAAAGTTACCAAGTACAACATTATCATAAGAAAAGATTTTGGATTTTTGTACCAGATTTGTATATGAATCATGTAAAAATCTTATAAACAAATAGCCAGCTATGATTTCAACTGCACCCATATTTACAATGAAACAGTTTTGGTGCCATTTATAGTTTGTTAATTTCATGTACAAAATTTAAGTACTTCTCTACTTAGGCAGCTGGGACCATGCTAAACAACTGATGTTTTCTTTCTTCAAGTTACACAAAATTATTATACATCGGGAGTGTATTAATAAACACTTCATCTTTTCCAGTTACAGCACAGAAGATCAGAGACTGACAATGCAGCCTGCTCTATTTGCAAAGTGAAAATATTGCAGCTTTAATCATCTCAATGTTCTGTCTTTACGCTGGTTATAAAAGCAGTTTAATAGCTAGCTTAACAAACATGCTTTATTTCATAATTAGTCCACAGTGTGGCTTAGTTGTATATTCACTATCTATTACTATGTGTCAGCTGATGCAAGAACTCAAGCTGCAAGAACTCTATTGCATACCAGTACCCTATTATCATTTACAGCCTTGCAAAACTAGACCCAAAGCATCACAAACCTACGTTTATAGCAAGTGCAATACTTGCAACAGATAACTATTTCATTGGCCCTGAGAACTATATTACAAAACCCCAAAAGAAATACTCCCAGAAACACCCTAAAAAATAAGTAGGATAGAATGATTTCATAAGCACATTGTTAATTCTTTGTAATGGGTTCACAGTTAAGTATCAATGTTCCAGAAAGTACAACTAAATGGCACTGAGATTACCGTATCTATTTGCTCTTCCCATTGTGGCTATGATAACAGCTCTGTTCACAGAAAGGTGGAAATTTTGATTAGGCAAGGGCAATCTCACTGTAAAACTAAAGAATCATCAAGGTATAAAGCATGCAGCAGCGAGCATAGGCCATACTGGTAGAGGAGTAGTGTTGGAAAAACAGAATCATAGAATTGTTTTGGTTGGAAGGGACCTTGAAAATCATCGAGTCAAACCATTAACCTAGCACTGCCAAGTTACCACTGAACCATGTCCCTCAGCACTACATCTACATCTTTTAAATTCCTCCGGGGACGGTGACGCAACCACTTCCCTGGGCAGCCTGTTCCAATGCTTCATAACCCTTTCAGTGAAGAAATTTTTCCTAATATCCAATCTACGCCTCCCCTGGCATAACTTGAGGCTGTTTTCTCTTGTCCTATCACCTGTTACTTGGGAGAAGAGGTTGATCCCCACCTCTTTACAATCTCCTTTTTAGGCAGCTGTAGAGAGCG